GTTGCTTACATGCTCAGTCCATGATATCCTTAGCATCCTTCTGTAGAACCACATCTTTGTCACCTTGAGTCTCTTCTTCATCTTTGAGGAAATCATCCAACATTCACTGCCATAAGAAGAACAGATGTCATGTAACAACTCAGTATTCTTTTCTTTGTTACCAAATAAATCCTGTGGGGTCACAATACTCTGCTCAGCTTTTGGAATGTGTCCTTAGAATATCCAATTTGTCAAGATCATCAGGGACATTATCAATATTTTTTGCAAGAATGACGAAAATGTCTGATACTAATCATTAAAGATGCAGTGTGGGTTTGAAAATACACCCAAACACTCCAGTTTTAAAATATTGTTTGTGAACTCTTCAACTAACTTTGTTCATTAAATTGTATAAAGAATAACTGAACTCAGACTCTTAACAAAGGTTTTAATGAACAACAAGCCCGACAAGACTAATACCAATTGCTAGAAAAAAACAAAAAAAACAGTCCTGTGTGGCAACAAATGTGCCTACCCCAAAGGTTCCAGTCACGGGAGGTAATTAAAAATATATATGACAGTATCACTTACATCCAACATCTGATTACTGTGCTTATTCATCAATCAAAATATGTCCTCCTTGATTTTAAGGGAGTTTCTACTAAATAGCTTATGTGGGATTTAAGGATATGTTTATTGAGTTGATAAACATCTTCCTGACCTTTAACAATTACAGAAAGTATCTTAATTTATTTGCTTTTAGCATTGCTCAATCAACTTTTGGTAAAGACTTTATGACTAAGCAGATTTATTTTGTAGCAAAGAAAAAGAAATTACTGCTTTTAACTAAAACTCTCAAAGTAATATTTTTATTTTTACACCAGTGTAAAATATAAATGAAATCATGAATTAAATAATTAAAAATTTTAGAATTCAAGTTTATCTAACAAATTGAGTGTTAGGGTTATGACAAAGCAGCTATATGTTTGCAATAATGTTTTTACATCAAGTGTTTACTTTAGCTGTATGTGTTGTTTAATACTTTATATGATATATAATGAATTCTTTATGAATGATTATTTTTATAACCTAGAAAAAACAAAATGACATTCACTCTAATGACATAAACCAATCAATAGATGAGGTCATCAAATACATCTTAAATCTACTACATTCTGTCTTAAATGATGTTTAAGGCGAATGTTATATTTCCAGATAGCTCCTGTCTCTTTTCCTTTTTTGGTTGTACATCTGTCACATGCAGGGTTTGCACTGATGTTCTTTCAGGGTCACTTTCGGGAATGCTGATGCACCCCAAGCAACATGTTACTACTTCTTCTCCCAGTGTGTCTTTTAGTCCTCATATATGAGCAAACTTGTCTCAGTACCTAAGGTCTCAGCTAGGTACAAGATTTCTAACTCAAGGAATAGCTCTGTTGCCTTCTTTGTATCTTCTTTCTTGGATCATTTGTTCTTTCTTTAAGGGTGCTACAGGTAAATTCATTTTTTTGGGTGGGGGATTGCATTATCTGCCTGACAGAGATCCAAATTGTATTCACTTTGTGGTTAGATTCAAGAATTACAAGGGCAATGCATTGGTGGACCTGTCTCAGCAGGGCAATTATCTGCATTCCATAAGCTCTAGTGTCATCATTTGTGATGTCTTCATGTTGTAGTTTGGACAAACCAATATTGAGGTGGTAACCAGTGATGACATGGTTGTGCTGTTGACTATGGCATTCATTGTGACTACAGATTTGGGGACATTGTTACATTCACAATTCCTGTCTTCACACAACATGTAAAGAACATTTTTCATTGTGTTGCTGATTGACATTACCCAAGATTTGTGGTCTCCAGTGATAGTGAAGTTCCCATGTAATCAATGTTATTTCATGAAAATGTCTGTAGGCCACACTTGTAAAATGGGTTCCATGGTCAGAGGACACAATGTGAGGTATTTCTTGGTGACAAAGGAAGAAATGCTAGAGTCCACAAATAGCATCCATCACATGGTCTCTGGTGCATGGTATGGCTATGAGATACAAACTGAAGTTGTTCAGAATTGTGAGGATATATTGTTTGCCTTTGGAGATGGGCATTGTAACAAAGTCTATGTAGAAAACTTGGAATGGACTTCTGCCTCACCTACAATAACTGATGAGCCAGTTTGGGGGCTGGCCATAGCTTTGACCATTCCCAATCATCAAAACAGAGGTACCATGTTCCAAGTAAATTTGGTAGAGTTGATTTTAAAGGAGCTCGGGCTCACATTCTCTGCTGATATGAAGTGGAAAGACTATATTGAATCCACTGCTAGGTCAACTGCTAAGAAAGTCAGTTCACTGTTTCAGGCTAGACAATTTTTCTCTCCAGAATCTATCTTACATATCTATATCTACCATTCATCCATGCTTAGAATATTGCTGTCACATATGGTCTTGTGCCCCTGCTATTTAACTTTAGCTGCTTGATAATATCCAAAGAAGAATCTGCAATATTATTGGTCCTGATCTGGTGGCTCAGTTCCAGTCACTTTCCCACTGCTGTAAGGTTGTCTCTATGTTTTTTCTATAAATACTTTCATGGTATTTGTTTGAATGAGCTCTTCAATACAGTACCTAGACTTTATGAATTTAAGCGCAGGAGGAATCAGGTACTTACTGGGGTGCTACAGGGAACCAGCAACTTTTCCATCATCTTTATGTATGTTCCACTTGAGGTCTGCAGTGAGCTTAAGTTCCAATAGGCACTCAAGGTAAGGTGGCTTCTGGGTCCAGTCAGTGATGATGGAACATCACTAGTTTGATTTTTGAGGTACTAAATGTGATCAACTAGTTTTTCCCCTGCAGAGCTGTTAAAGATCAGTCAGTCTGATGGACCTATACTGAGGCAGAGTTGAGTGCTCACCTACATTCTTAAAAACAGGGCATAGACTTGATACATTCCACAGGCTTAGGAAAGATTTCTCCTTCAAGCAGTGAAAAGTTATCCCATTAACCATAGCTCTGAAGGACAATCACTGGGACTTCATATGGACTTTTGATAAGTCTTGAGACTTCTCAGGCTGTGATAAAAATATTACTGAGATTGTGCTCTGTGAGACAGTGGAAGTTTGTCTTTTTTCTAATGAGTTAGAAGCAAAGTGTTTTGCCTTATTTGATGAGGATGAGCTAACCTCAGGACCATTTATGATAGTAGACAGTGATGCTTTGCCTCTGTTGAGAATTTGGTTGGAGATTTTCTAAAACTCCCAATCCCATTATTCAAATTGTTTGTTTTCAACCTTGGCCTGGATCATGTGTGCATAGCTACTTTGCATTTTCTATAACTCTCTTGCAATGATTGTAGCCAGTTTTGAATGCAGTGAGTGTCCTACTACACTGTTGCCCATAATAGATATTGTAGTGGTGGTGGTTATGGTGAGCTATGACTGCAGTTCATTCAGGGGTGAACTAGGGCAGGCTGTTTGTTTTGCTGGAAATTTGTGTACCTGTCCCTAATGTAGGTGCCAAGTTTAATGGTCATGTTTTACTATTAGAGGCAAGTAGCTCAGGATTGTGAGTTTCTGCACTGGGACAGATCTATACCAGAGAGGGATAAGAGTTCAGGTTTGTGTCAAGAAAATGGAGTTCAACTTTTGGAATGTTGGAACTACACCCCCTTACATTGGTGTAGGATATGGTGAATCTGATGTCTACTTTTGTTTTTGTGGGTTTGGGTTTGATTCTATTATTTAATTTTATTGTGGTTATGGTTAGAAATCAGTATGTTTTGGTGAAAACTAGGTCACACCCACAGGAAGTGCATGCATCACCAGCCTGGATTGATGAATTGTCTGGAGGTACAGCTGTAACAATACCATTCATCATGAAATTGAGAGTCCTCACCAGACTGATGCACGGTCCAGAACCCATTCACAAAATGGCAGTAAAATAGCCCCAATATTATACATCTACTGACAGGATAGCCTTGTTTGAAGCAAATCCAAGGTATGGATCCCTATCTGGCAGATAATGCCACCTCCCACAAAAAAAAAAAAGAATTTACCTGTAGCACCCTTAAGAAAGAACAAATAATCCAAGAAAGAAGATACAGGCATCGTACCATGAGTGCACATGTTCTGGGAGAAGGAGTAGTAACATAAGATAATTTTTTGGATAGTGGATAACTTTGAAGTCAACAAAATGAATTACATAGCACTTTAGGTGAGAAATGAAAATGGCAAAATTGACTGGGCCCATCACACACTTGTACATTGCTTTATACAGTGACTCAACTAGCATTGATGTTACTACCATCACTTCTGTCTTGGGAGCATAACACAAGACTCCAGATCTAGTGAAATTACTCAAACACTACCCTAAACTAATGCAAAACAAATTCCAAAAAGACATTTCAAAGACTTCATCATGATTTATGTCAACAGTATAAATACACCAAATTAATATGATTACATACACCCTTTCTACTTGTATTTGCTCACTACCCATGAATCAGAATGAGATCTGGGTGAGCGGTTATACTCTACTTCAAATTAGGCATGACAAAAATGCTGAGTCATGTATCCACCCACACTGCTTAAAAGAATTTCTGCTCAGTGATAATGAAAGCAGAAAGCACAGGCAGTTCACCAGCAGTCTTCCAGTCAACTAATTGAACACAAGCTTCAATGCCAGGCCTGTACACAACTCTCATCTTCCAGGCTACTTCCCTTACCCATAAAAGAAACATTCTACCTAAGGTAGTTATCCATTATATTGGTAATACAGATCATTTTATTTTAACATATCTTGTCTCCTTTTCTTCTCACCTCACTGGCAATACTTTGTTGCTTTCATTTGGTACCCTTGCAATCATATGCAGTATATAACAATCAGAACACAAGATTACCAAATGGATTGTACTTATTTGGTACATTCTGTGACATCTGATTAGGCAATATCATTACTAATTACTGTAGGTGACTTTATGCAAAAATAAATATTTTTGAAGTTTTGTCTATTGGAAAAATCTTTCAGGTGTGCCATTGGTATATGAAGCATTCAATTGGTCACATGGTGTCATGGTTGGAGCAGCCATGCGCTCAGAGGCAACAGCAGCTGCAGAGCACAAAGGTAAAATACCTTTTGTTTTCTGATATGTGACATAAAAAAAAGCAATCTACTTTATTCAATATCCAGGAGTAAAAGATAGCAATTTTCCACATTTAAATATAGAGAAGCAAATCTGTATCATTGCTAAATCATTGTCTTTCACATCTACTTTAATTATAGAGCTACATTTAAAAAATATATTAGATATATTTGAAAATCCCCTTATCTGAATAAGGGGAATATTTTCAACTATTTTCAGGGCCACATAAGAAAAATATGGAAGATTCATTCATATCTTCAGGAAAGAAAAATATCAACATATTTGTATTTAGTTGATTTATAATATAGAATGTTTTTCAATAAGTCTGAACAAAAAAATCTTTCTTGTTAAAATTTATTAGTATGCTCATAAGTAAATTTACTGGCAAAATTTTTTTTCAATAAAAATTTTCAAATAAATAAATTTCAAAAAATTTTATTCAATGAAAAAAATAAGAATTTTTTATTTAATTTTCCTTTTTCAGGAGAAAAAGCCATAACAGTGTTTTAAAAGAAAACTCCATGTCCACTGAAATTATTAAACGTTTTGTTTTACTCAGTTTATTTTGTAAATTAGCTGAAAATATTTTTAAAAAAGGAAAAATTAAATTATGTTAATAATAAAACCTTTGTTTTCATCACTTATGATAATGTAAGAATCAAATTATATTTAAAAAAATTCTCATGATTATAAAGCAAATTGGTTGATTGGGTATTTTCATTGGGTTAATTATTTGATTCGATTTCAGATGGCTTCATTTTGGATTTTATCTGAAAAATACAACTGACTGTATGTTTTTGTTAGCTGTTTTATTATATTCCATTTTTTAACTTTTATTTGTTTAGAAAATAATAAATTTGCAGTAAATCCTCTATATACAAACATTTTATTTTATAAAAATAATTAATACCCTTGTATGAGACCATTATATTTTTATTTTTTTTTATTTTAAGGAAAAGTGATAATGCATGATCCATTTGCAATGCGCCCTTTCTTTGGCTACAACTTTGGCAAATATATGGATCATTGGCTGAACATGCAAGACCGTCCAGGTGTTAAACTACCAAAGATTTTTCATGTCAATTGGTTCCGAAAGAATGAAAGTGGTAAGTTCATGTGGCCTGGATTTGGAGAAAACTGTCGAGTTCTTGACTGGATCTGCCGTCGGATTGATAATGATGAGACCTGCATGAAGAAATCTGCTATTGGTATTGTGCCCAATTTAGAGAGCATTTCTTTGGAAGGATTAAGCAGCTCTGTTGACATGGAAGGTATATTTCATCTCCCTAAAGAGTTCTGGCAACAGGAAGTGAAAGATATCCGTAAATACCTCATTCATCAAGTGAATGATGATGTACCAGCTTTGATTTGGAAAGAACTAGATGCTTTGGAGGAAAGAATTAATACTATGCTTTAAAGAAAAAAATAAATAAATCACAATAAATCTGAGAATAAAAAATTGATATCAGTTAGTCTTCAGAGCTCCCTATAAGCAGAGTTAGCAACCTAAATCAGGGAATTGATTTATTTTTTTTTTTGTCTTTATAGAACATGATATCCTATGACTTCACTGAAGAAAAAACCAAAAAACTTGGTATTATTAATTGAAAAGAGAAAAAAAAAAATTAATTACAAACATTTTTTTAATATTAACATTTTAAAATGAACACTAACACTTGAAAAATTCAGAGCATTTTGCTTTTATTAATTTTTTTTATTCATACTATCCGTGGTGTAAATATTTTTTTCTAAAATAATGTATATACTTGTGGAGAGATTGAAATAAAAAAATAAATGGTGCTGTTTTTTGATTCTTTTGTTTATTAATTTTTTGACAGGTTGCTGATCAGTGATAACATTGAAAATTAGTGAATACAATATAACTTTTAGTGTAATTGCTGCTCCATTTTCAAAGAACATGAAGGAGGGATAGAAAAATTTGGTATAGTAGACCAAATCTAGAAAGAAAATGGTAAATTTTATTCACTTAACTGACAGGAAGCATTGTTATAGAAATGAAGCAGCTGAATGTAGTATATATCAGCTTTTGCCCAAGGTGAATGTCTCGCTAATATGGATTTCAACACTGCAGTTATTTTGCCTCATAAAATAAACATCTCTATATATAATTTGGAATTGATACTCTAATTATATTAGGAATTGTTTTAGTTGATATATTGATGATTATTTTCGGTTACCATTTGTTTTGTTTCTCCTTCACAGAACAGAGCTGATCATCAGAAATGAGTTAAGAACAGCTGTAAAAGAAACCCTGATCAAGTTATATTAATGCATGAAATATAATTTAGAGACTTCAGGTATTGAGAGTTAAGAATTCTAAGTGAAGGAGTAAAAATACTGTTGAAAATATATGGAGGATTTGTTGACCTGAATGGAAGAAGATTCAGTTTAGAAACATTATGTAGAACATATAAAATGCTTGAAGATAACATCAGTAGGATTTGAACCCAAAAGAAAGCTAGTAAATTCAATATAACTGAATTATTCCCTATCCTGCTTCACAACCCTAAGAAAGTTGTGGTGACAAGATTAAGGTGTTTACCAAAATTCTGCAAAAAACAGAAACTGGTAAGATAACAAGCAATGTTACCAAATTTAGACTGATTCTTACTCAAAATATTTAAACCCACAATCTGACTGGAGGTCCTGGTAGTAAGGGCCAGGTATGGTTGAAGATACTTTTCAACATGGCCATCTGGGTTCATAAACATCCATCAATGTGATTTCCTCCATCCTCTGCACAAATGTCTAAAGTCAGATCATGCAGTCACTTAGCTTGCACAACAATTTTTTGCTGCATCCTGAGAGAAGTTTGTTTCTCTGTCTTTCTTTCTATAAGTTGAAAGAATCTCCAGCACGCAAGCATGTTAAATGTTACTTAACTACAAAGTTCAATTAAGGTCTTAGCTAAATAAAGAATAATTTCCATGGTCTGTTATGAGTGTGGAAAGATGTAATGTTCACGAGTGATATCAATAGAAATGAGTAATGATTAAAATGTCATAAGAAATATGCGCCGTGCCGTATTTTCCAAGAATTGAACTGCTACAATATTTATAGTCGTAAATACAACAAATGTGGCACAAAGCCAAAAGGGGGTAGGGGGAAAAGAACGGTCATCACTTGTCTTAATATAGAACTTAGCTAGCCACAACCACTGACCCTATCATACAAAACAATATTCCTTTCACCAAAACAACACATTTATCCATACCTTTCTTACTACATTCACCAAAATACCTCTTCGTCTCAATGAAAATCCTAAATAGTCCCCTTATGTGCAAATATTGTTCATGGGGGGAGGGGCATAAAAACAACAAGTTTTAAAAAGATCCCCAATGAATATATACAATATGACAAAGTATTTACAAGAAACTAAACAAACAGTGTGTTAGTAATGAAACCCCCCACAAACCTTAAATGTGGCAGAAATATCAGTTAACCAGACGAAATCGATGCGGGACTAAGAAAATAAAGAGAAAACTCATTCCTCCAAAGCATTCACACAGGCACACACACATTCATACACAACAACAAATACGAAAAACACACACGCGAAACTAAAGGTGCCCCGCATCCACCAGAGAACTGACATCACTGACCACCTAACAATGGAGGGGATGGGGAGTTAAACTAAAGGAAAAAAGGGACAGAAATAAAAGGGGCCAATGAGCAAACACACTAAGTTTACTGGAAAAGAAAAGAAAAACTAAAGAATCAAATACCAAAAAACCTACTCTAACCTAAATCCAGGGATGGGTTACCCAAGTTCAACCCAGGAAAACAATATCCTGATGCCTAACTGGCATCAAAATGCCACTCCAAGTCAGCCCCTTTTCCTCGACACAAGGGCGCAAGATTCACCCACCTTTTGCCAAATTCTGATGAGGTGAGCTGCCGCCTTTCCGTCCTAATCTTGACTTTAAGTTGATGCTTAAAGTACAAGATCAGTTGGGAAGAGGTGAACTTCTCACCATCATAGACTTCCTTCTGACGCGTCGTCCAAATCACGACTCTCATAACCCCTAGTAAGCAACAGAACACATAGTGTTCAGCCTTCGGCAACTGCAGCACCACATTGCTACAGACAGAACTGGCTTCAAGGACAAAGAACTTTCCCTGCAGCATGCGAACCATGAGGCCTTCAACAAACCTGCACAACGGCACTACTGTCTTGCACTGAAAAAATGCGGTTGATCTTGGCCCCTGTCACCATCTCATACCCACTGATCTCTTTGCTGACTTCGTCAATCTCGGCTCTGCTCGACACAAGAACCAAAACGTCGTCAGCAGAGGCAGAATACCTGGCTGAGGTGGTAGCCCCAGGCAGGGCAATTCCACGCAGGACCGGATTCGCCTTTAACTTGCGAAGGAATGGTTCCAACAGAAGAACGTAAAGCAAAGGCGAGAACGGACAACCTTGACGAATGGAGCGAGACAATACAAAAGGCTTCGATCTTACCCCATTCACTTCCACCAACGCACCGGGGGTCACATACAAAAGTCGGATCCAGGAGCAAAAGTCGGCTCCGAAACCGGCCGCCAAAAGGACAGCCTCCAGAAAATGATGGTCAACCCTATCAAAGGCCTTGGACTGATCTAAATTGATCAGTGTGGCTTCACTGTCGACTTTTTCTAAGATCAAGCGTACCATATGAAGGTTATCATGAATAGTCCTGCCCTTCACAGCACAAGTCTGTTCGGAGCCAATCAGACTAGACAGGACAAGCTGCAAATGGTTGGCTAAGATCTTCACCAAAATCTTTAACTCAGTGTTTAACATGGTTAAAGGGTGAAAGTTCCCTAACCCATCCCCACCGTTCTTGTCCTTACGCAGCAACTTGATCACACCCCTGATGAAGCGTTGAGGTATAGACCCCTGCTTCATCCAGAGGTTGAAAATCAGTCCCAGCAAAGGAATAAAAACGGGCGACTGCCTCAAGTAAACTTCGTAGGGAAGACCATCGAGTCCCAGAGATTTATCCAGGCCAACCTGCTTCAGTGCATCCCAGATTTCCGACTCTGTAATGGGACCCTCACACCTAGCCGCTTCAGCTGCCTCGAGGCAGGGAAAGTCAGCTAAATAGGCATCGAAGTGAGCAGACCTCAGACCGGGCTCCCTGGTGAAAAGATCCTGAAAGTAATCCCGAAAGACCTGATATGCCCCGCATTTGTAGTCATGGTCCGCTTATCTGGCAATGTGGCCTTGCGCTATATATGTCGCCTAGGCGCGTTCCGATTTTCCTCTGCACACAGTTCAGCGGCCATATTCGTCGCCTCAGAAGACATTCTTTTTAACCTAGCCCTAACTACCAGAGCTTGATCCTTCTTGATAAGCACGGAGGAAAACTCTGCCTTAGCTAAGGCTATTTCCCCACTAATACGGGATTTCACTGCCCGATCAATTTTATTTTCTAAAACCGTTTGTGCCACTAATCTATTTAGATTGAGTCGACGACTAAAATTGGCAGCAAACGTTCTAATTTTAGATTTTAATTTATCCCACCAGGCATTTCCCACAACCGTCCTCGTCAATTCCCTTTGTATCATTAGTAACAGCTGGTCCTGGAAACCCTACTCACTAAATAACGAACAGTTAAATTTCCAGTAGCCAGCCAATCTAACCTTAGGCTTATCTAAGTTTACACGGACCCGGACAAGCCTATGATCCGTATAAACTATGTAATAGAAGTTTTGACACCCTAAGAGCCCTACATTGACTCTCCTAACTAGGACTTGGTCGAGGTAGCTTGCAAGCGTCCCAGGAGTTGCCGAGGGTGTTCATTCCGGTACTTATCGACAAGATCAAACTCATTGATAAAGTCCCGAAATGGTTTCACGTCCAGGTTGTTAGTACCTTGTTTTTTCCCTATACGATCTATATCGGGGTCAAGGACGGCATTCCAATCCCCTGCTAAAACTATCCGACGAGATGTCGTCAAGTAAGGATACCGACCGCCTCTCCCATAGACCCATGGCCCATCTCAGTCTTTATGGAACTGTCTTGGGAGATTCCGCCGATATCCCAGGGGAATGTTAGATTCAGGGCTCTATACAGGGAGGGATGAACTAAAACAGGGACCCTCCCTGCACAAAGATTTGACAGCTGCTTCAATTGCTTGTTCTGAACAATGGCTATTGGCAAGGCCATTTTCTAAGAACTAATGACCTCATCTATCATTGTCCAAACTTGCTTGGTGCCAGGTCCTGTTCTTACAACAGTTAGAACCCTTTGGGCGAGCGGGAAATTTTCGGGAACTTCTACATCCAAATGGGCATATTGCCTAATGGATAGAAGGTATTTCAGATCTTTTATTCTGTTCCCATAGTCACGGGCTCTTTCTGCCTGAGCTGTAGAAATTTTACAGACCATGTAAAAATATGTTTTTTTTTCTTCTTTTCATTTTGCACTTGAGTGGGGCTTCTTTCCCGTTTGGAAGCGGGAGGAGGCATTTCTATTTTTTTGACGGGGGAAGGACTGGGAGTATGCAAAGGGGTATAGGATGATCTTTTTTTTAACAGGGGAAGGGCTGGGAGTGTGAAG